GAATTCCTTTATTCTATCCTTACGTACAGACGTCGCACAAAAACATCGTTAAATTGCATTCGATAATGATCAAAATGGATATTTTCGTTGAAATAAGATACCCGAAAATTTTAGCGATTACAAGACTTTCTTTTTACTTCGTACAAGGAAGTAATAAAATTAGCAGCTTTTTCTATACATTCTAAATACATTTAGTTTTTTTTAGAATAACAGAAATATTTAATGAAATCCGAAAATGAAAAGGAAATGTGTTGAAGAAAGAAACTGAATACATAAAGAGAAAAAAAGTTATTCTTCAAAGATATGTACAATTATTATTATGTAAATTACCTAGTTGTTTATAATTTCCTCACCAGAATACAAATCACTTACACAGTTTTTAAGTTGAGGTTTGTGAGACAAGAGTGCGTTTCTGACCGCTTTCTCGCTGCATTAGTTCCTGCCAGCTCCGAAATTTGTAATTACAGTCAAAAGTCGTTAATTCGGACACCCATAATCCGGACCTCAAAGCTACAAACTTTCGGCGCATGCGCACAGGCGTTTACGAGAGCGCGTAAGACCCTTACGGCTGCGAATATGTTTGTGCGCATGCGCGTTTAATGTGTAACAGAGTTATACGCTAAGCTAAAGTTATCTAATTCAGTTAATGTTGCAGATTGCGTTGTTCCTTAATCTTCGAATTGGATCCGGCTTATTATTTTTTGCAGACTGTTAGAGCAATTTTATAAAAGTAAGCTTGAACTTTCGATTATGTCAAATAGAATTTCCGATATATATTTACTACAAAGCGAAAGTATGTTTCGAAATCCGAAATCTGTTTATCAATTTCACGCTGCTCTGCGGCAGAGGGGGGGGGCAGAAACGTCATTATTAGATTATGATAGATTAGAAAGATTATGTCAAATAGAATTTCCAATATATTTACTAATATGTAATTTGTATCTACAAAGCGAAAGTATGTTTTGAAATCCGAAATCTGTTTATCAATTTCACACTGCGGATTGGAAGTTGATCTGTCAACACTATCCTTATCTTCAGAGCAGATGTTTTTATTTTATTTGAATTATAATTCTGTACTAAGTTTAGTATTTCATCTCGATGTACTCTGTCTTTGATATGATTTAAATCAAGTTCCTCGTCGCTTCCGATAGAGAAGAAAGTGACCCAGAAGTTATTGAAAACGAAAACATTTCGATTGACAAATTAGTCGGTATTCTCAACACAGCAATTATAGGACTTGAACAGCGGAACTTTGTAACTAAACAAGAAATTATGTCTGTTTAATAGAATTAAAGAGAAAGTATTATCACATGAAACGAAGCAACTTACATTGAAGGAAATGTTTAATAAAGTAAACAAATAAATATTAAGTTTTTTCTTTTTGTAAATTTTGATACCCTTTAGATCATAATTGTTCTTTATTTCATAAATTACGGTTTCATATTTTTAATTTTGTAATTTTTGCATGCCATCTTACCAGATTTAAACTGATGATCTATAATCCGGAAAAATCGATAATCCGGAATCGCCGAAGTCCCGACGAGTCCGGATTAACGACTTTTGACTGTATTTGTCTTTGCATTATCCCTGCGAACATTTGAATTTGTTATGACAATAGAGTTACCAAGCCAGCTTAAATTAAAATTAAATTGCATAATCTTTGACCACTAGTCCACATTTTTAGCTTGGATTTGACTCTTCTTGTTTAATTATATCACCAAAAGATGTAATTGATTTTCTTAGCATAAGAACATGCCTCTAAGTTATTTTCAAATAAGAGATTTATTTAAACCTTTATTTGACTTTGTAGTTCCTTTCAGACATAGCGATAATTTGCTTCCCATCTATTGAGGAACTATAAAGTGGTTTGCATATTGAGACAAGTTTCTAATTGTTAGAAAAGATGCTTAAAGAGAAGGAAATCAATATAAGTTAACAAAAGTGTATGGGAAGGCTTCAAATTAAAAAGATGCATAAATATTTTGTTGAGTATTAGTGTTTTGTAGCTTTTAATGTGTAATTATCCTAATTTCATTTAAGAATCAATGTCATAAATTACATGTTTTTTAAACTGTGAAATTTTATTAGACTGCGACTGTGATTTATTAGACTCTGGTGCTTTAGTGGCTTATTGGAACCTTAAAGTATGTTAACTGGGACTCTACACAAAGCTATGACACTAACTGCATCAGGTAGAGCCCAACTTTCAAAAATTGCCAACCATGCCCACATCAGACTCTTCAGTTTTCTTCTGATCAGCAGGTTTTTCTCTAGGAAAGCAGCAGTGGTGACAACAGCCAGTCATTTGTAACGAATCATGCCGCTCAACATAAAATCTACCTGCTATCTACTAAACTTCTAGATTGAGCAAATGTGTGACAAAATAAGACAAAAAAATCATCATAAAGCTAACTGTTAGTAAAACGTAAATAAAATGTCACTTATCTTCTTTCAAATATGTCCAACTATCATAAGTGTAAAATATTTAATACTATTTGATTAATATCATAAAATTTATTTTATTCTCAAACTTATTAATACTTGTGTTTATTAAGTTATGTTTAATAATAATGCATCCTATTTATGGATCTGTTTTATTTTTAGGATGGTATTACGAAAAGTGAAGTTCAGGCATAGATAATATTTTTAATTCAATTTATTCAGTTCCCATTTTCTCATAGGTCCTTAATTTTTTTTCCATTAATGGTCTTCAAAAATATTTAATTTCAGTGTGTAGAAATGTGTATGAACCAGTGTTGCCAGAAATTTTCAACTAAAGACAAAAATAGTAAATGATGTCAGAGAACACATGATTTTTGCGATGTCATAGTTTTGCAAGCTGACATGACTTCTAATGTCACAAATTTACTGTCTGTTGGTTCGATAAGTTACTGTATTCAATTTTTAGTCTTTTTAATTATGCACCTTAGCTTTAATGAAAATTTTAAAACTATATTGCTCATTTTCAATTGTTTAAACACCCATCTCTGTTTTAATTCTCATTTAATTTCTTTCTATTTTAAAATCAATTCTTAAGAGATTTCTCACGTTTAGACTGTTAGTGCTTTTATACTAAATTTTTTGAGTTGGCAATTAATTTTTTAAAATTCATTCCCCCCCCCTTTATTTTGAACATTTTAATGGAGGAATGCTTTTTAGTGAGATTTCCATTCTGTGCAGTCCATTTATTTCAGATTCTGATTATTTATGAAAGTGTTTTTTCTTTCACTATTAATTTATTGGCATTGTTATTTAGAAAAATGATGTTGCTTTGATTTTTAAGACATTTCCAGTGTTTAGTTCTTAGCAATATTATAATCAGGAGAACAAATTTAATTTCTTTCTCTGTTTGGGAATTTAATGTATGGCACACAAACTGCAAGTTTTTTTATTCGATTTGTTATCACCATAGAAATGGGAGGGAACTTACTTTCCTTTCCTCCTACCCCATTCTCGTTATACCGGCATCAGGCTGTGCAGGCTTGAGAAAGAAAGACAACATGTAAACAAGATTGCCAGATGCCAACTTCTATTTAAGCCTAAATAAACTGTTTTTTATATAAATTATTTTTAACTGATATATTATTTTAACAAAAACTTTAAAAAAAAAAAAAAAAGCGGAAATGTTTTGAATTTTAAATTGCATCTAAAGGGGCGTTTTTTTAACGTTTTGTGTGTTACCTTTATTTAATAAATATTATGTTCTTTGCACTTGAATCATAAAATTTAGTTCAATAGCTATGTCGCAAAATATTTTAAAAATGAGCATATCTTTAGAATTTCCGATACACAGTTTGATGCGCTGAAGATAAAAAGGTCCCCACCCCCCGTAGAGTATTGCCATTGCTCGCTTTTAAATCGTTGAGTTTGTTACTAAAAATTTGTTAAAGTTTTACAAAATATGAAATCGATATAAAACAAATTCCAAATTTCAAATTTGGGATTTCAAATGCTCATTTTCGCAGCAGGATTATGTATTCAAAATTGGATGGCTCTAGATACCGTTGTTTATCACAATGCAAGAAATATACATACATTTATGTAGATTTTTCATTACTTAATTTCTTCAAATATAATGCAAGACTAACGTTTTGTGGCAAGAGTTTGAAAAGTGAACCGACATTTATACGAGTCTGACGCAAAATGCCAAAACAAAAGTAATAGTCCTTCGGGACTCAAATCCCTTTGGACTAATAAAAGTATTTCACGATATATTAAAAAAATTTTTGAAGTCGCAAAAAGTAGTATGAGAAAATGATGGATGTCGTAAAATCGCAATTATTAAATTTTAGTAGCACAAGTTTGTCAAAAGTTGCAAATTTGAGAAAAATTGCACAATCTGGAAACACTAGTACGAACCCTGTGAAGGTGAAACTTGCATCACAATATGTTAGAGCACAGCCTTAAAGGCAAGGTCAAAGTTGAAGAATTGTTTCCAATGCAAAAAAAAAATTGTATTCCTGTTTTTAACACCTATTTTGAAAGGCACCATGAACAACGAGTTAGGCACCTAAAAATGTCATTCCAAGATGGCCAATTGTTCCATGTGTTTTTACAAGACAAATTCATGAGCCAAGTAGTTTAGTTTAAATTTCACATTTATCCCAAATGCTGGTTTAAACTGAGAATAGTCGTCATACGAAAGGAACATAAATGCCAAATGAGTAAAATTAATGTTAATTTCCAGGTTTTGAGTAAAATTAGGGACTTTTAAAGACCGAAAATCAGTTCTAAAAAGATTAAGGACTGTACAAAACCTGTTATTAGAAAATAATGAATCATTTAAAAGAATATTTATATGAAAATATCAAATCCTTGTTTGATCTGAAATATACATTAATTTTGATAATTTTATACTTTCATTTTTGTTAATTTTTAGATATGGCCTTCTATTCATGAGTTAATATACTTACCTTTGTCATTTACATAAAGAAAAATGTACTCATATTGTGTCCTTGTTGTGAAAAAATGAAAAAGTATCAAATACAAAATACAAGTCATATATGATGAAAAATTATTTATACAATGAAGGTCGTGCTACATTATTTATACAATGCTGTCTACACAATTTTAAAACACAAATTCACATCTCATTCTTTACAGTTGCACACCAAATGAATATTTAGAGCACTTTAGTTTTTGGTAAATTATACAGTAAGTATACAATATGAATACAAAAGTAGAAAAATGGACTAAATTATTCTACTAGACTAGATGCATACACTTTGAAAGCCAGCAACTCCAAATCAATATGGAATTCTTTTTCTTTAGTTTGCAGTTTCACAGATTCCATAAAAGTGTCAATTAGTCCTGGCATTTCTTCAATAAATTCTGAATCTTCATCACAAACAATAGTTTCAGGACTTGATACAAAGTGGGCACATTCTTTTTTCTTGTGACTTTTAACAACAATTTTATGTTTCTTGGAAAATACAAACTTATACAAATTGAACATATTTGAATAAAAAGAAAGCAAAAAGTTCAGTGCAATTAAATAAAGAGCATAATTTTTGTAATTATTAAAATTAGGAACTTCATGTTTAACACCTTTCCCAACAAAAATGGCTGACACATTTTCAATTATATCTCTCATCTCTTGTGTTTTTATGAAATAGTCTGGTTTCCTACCTTTCTTGTCAACTGCATTTAACAACTGGAGACCTATAATATAAAATTAAAAATCTAATCTCAGTTTTCGATAGGAAAAACTTTTTCACTCATCATTATTTTTTATTAAACTATTTGGATCTATTCTACTGAATAAAACAATTTTTAATTTTCTGCAGAAAGGTAAATGTGCCAACATTGTTTATTGACCATCATTAAAGTAAACGTGTTCTTATCCCTTATAAGATTATTCTTGTTTTCAAAGTAAGTACTGTGAATAGAAATTTTTTAAGTGTGTCATTCTTCATTCTTTGTTTATTGAAATAAACAGCCTAAAAGAGAGATTTCTTATGTTTAAAAATTTTATTACCATAAAAATAAGTTTGTTTGCTAGAAGTATCAAACTGGCACATAATTTTCGATAGAAAATTGTTTGGCTCATTTTCCTTGACCCAAAAAAATACGTAAATAAAATTTTAAAAAATCCATACATTTAAATAATTTGTAACAAATAAATACACATGTATATCACTTATATTTGATGTCATAAGCTCTCTAAGTAGCTACAACATATCTAATTGTGTGGCACTTTATTTGAGTCTAGCCTTGCATCAGAAACTGCTGGTCAAGTAAGGATATTGTCAAGCATTAATGATGAGTGAGTTTTAATTTAAATAGGCTGTCCAATCCAGGTGCTTTTTGTAACCTTGGAAATAATAGGATTTTCAGCCAATTGTTGAAAAGTGCAGAAGACTCAGACTGTGTTTTGCATTATTTCAAATTGGAACTTGCAAGTAGTGAGGTAAAATAAAGATTTTATTTTCTTCAACTACAATTTGTTGATTGGCTACACATGCATAAATATAAATATTTCTGCTGGACTGAATACTGCTACAACAGCAGTTTGCTTCTTTCATTGTGAAATAAGTAGGTAACACATAACTAGAATTACAAGACATTCCAATTTTCCAGGACATTCCTAGTTTTCGATGAAATCCCGAAATAATGTTTTAGCATAGATTATTCCCGCGAAATGTTTCGGAACACAAGTTTGTCCCGGCTCTCCTTTCAAATTAAAATTTGTGAGATGGAGATGATCTTGTTAGAAACTATTTTCCCCCATCTGTCTGTCTTTCCTACTGCAAGAATGTTGATTTTCTTATGCACAGTTGATGGTCTGGTACTATCTAGAACTTAGACTTTTATGTGGTAATGATTTTATAACTATTTTGTCAATTTTTTCTTCTGGACAGGAATTAGGATGGTCTTCGTTATCATGAAGTGTTGTGAAGTGAATATGGTGGTGGCTAAACATGTGACATTTTCTTTTACATTCATTAAGTGGTAACCCTTCATATGTGTGCACCTATTTCAAGAAGATTCTTTGAATGTGTAGACGTGATAACATCCCCAAAATACAAGAATATGACCGAGATATTCTGAGAGAAATATGAAAATATTCCGGAATTCCATAACCTTTTACACGCACAGAAGTTCCAAGGAATATTCTTTACATGTTGTAGAAATAGTCTAGAAATTTAGGCTACAAACAGAAAGTAAAACAATTACCCTGTCAATATTTAAATAAGTTCTTTGGGATACAAGAAATCATAAAAACTGCTATTTTTAAAGGCTTAGTACACTTTTAATAATGCACCAATTGTATTATAATAACACAGATGGATATTCCCATGAAATACACCTGGAATGCTTCAAACACTGGTTTCCAAAAGTTAAGCACATAATGCAAATTAGCAGTTTGCAAAAGCATGACTGAATTTGAGTGGTTGAAAATTGTTACAGATGAAGATAGCAGTATACAAATATCTTATGTCACAGCCAATCACAAAATTGACTACTGAAGATGGCAGCATTCTGAAGCTTTTGAGGAGGTCCATTTAAATGCCGATACAAAATATTTATGACTTTCGTAAGATAATTTTTGATGATATTCCATGTTTCTATAGTTGAACAAAGAGGAATGGTTTGGTTTGGTTTATGTAATTATGGCAAAGCACACTAGGGCTATCTGCCTAAAGAGAGGGATGCCTTCGTGGAGGACTTTTTAAGGGAAACTGGCTTGTATACACGCTACACAAAGGGAAACCACAAAAATGCCCATGCAGCCAGCCCGTTAGCGGGATTCGAACCTCGGACCGAAATACCAGTGTTCAGTGGCTTTACTGTTCGGCCGCTGGTGGTCCAAAGAGGAATGACTGGTAGCAAGCACTGGCATGCTGTCGGACGCATTGAAACACAACAGTCAATCAAAGATGTCACTCTTTTCTTTGAGGTTGATCATTTAGAAATTTCTTAAAGTGGAAACAATTCCAAACAGTTGTCCAGACCTTTACCATTCCTTCTGAAGAACAGTATATTGCTATAGCCAAATGGATCGATGAGTGACGACTTTATCTGTTATAACCATGGTTGCAAAATCACTTGGTAAGACAATATATGCCAGTACTATGCACCAGATGCTTTATTTAAAGGTACTGTATGCCCAAATACCAAATGTTCAAGTTCTACTAACCGCCCAGTCCAGAGGTGTAAGATAAAAGTGATGTCATGAACATCTCAATTGGAGTGTCTCAGATTGGCACAATTTCCTGTTCACAGGCTAATGTAGATTTGTTCAGGAATAAGATGAACAGAATGTAAGCGTCTGTAGAGAACAAGGCACATGGAAGGCCTAGAGCATCAACAGACATTGCATATTCAGAGGTGGATAGAATATGGCATTCAGCTTCACACCTTTAAAGATGTTTTTGTAACAGCTACATGATATCAAGACAAAGTCATACATTCCATCATGAGAATATGCTGCAGAAGTTGGTCTTCATTTCTTCCTTATGGATGACAAAGCCATTCCCATGGAGACAACATCAATAATGAGTACTTGGAGTGAGAAAGCTTTCCTTATAAGGAGAGACCACCTTATTACACTAACATTAATCCTTCTGAAATTCTTTGGGATTTCCTTGGGCATGCTGCCTCTGCACTTTATCGCCAGCCAGTCTGGACAGTTGGAAACTGCCTTACTGGAGGACTTTCCACTGCTAGCATCTGCAATGGCTGATCACCTTTCACAATCTAGGAATATTCTTTGAAAAATCATAAAATAGTCTTAGGGATATGCCAGAATTATTACAAATAACTTCCGAAAGAAAAAGGATGATATGGGATGCAATGCAGAGCAAAAGTTATTCCAAGCTGTACAAGACGAAACTATATAAATATTGCATTGGCTGAATTATTTCATTGACTTTATTAACACTATAAAATACTGCTACATTATAATTTTCTTAAAACTTTTATTAAAATTAATTTTGATGATAAAACAGAGGCAGGACAAGGGTGAGGCAAGTAAGGCACTTGCCTGAGGTGAATGGCCAAATTAGCTGTGAAAAATTAGAAATGCCTTTTAAAAAAGAAATTATGACTTTCAATTTTGTGAAGCATTCAGAAACAATATTTTTAAATTTCATATATAAGAGCAATAAAAAAATGTGCTTTGTCTTCATTTCATCTCATTCTCTGTTAAAAGGTTGGCTATTTTATTTTAATTCTTTCTTACATTTTTTATTATTCTCATTGATCCTCTATCAGGCTGTCCTTTTTTCAGTAGCAGTTTGACTCACCATAATATCAAAACAATAAATAACCAAGTTATTTAAGTAGGATTTAATCTATTTATGCTATCACATTCCCTCATATAAACTACGAACAACAAAGCCTTAAAGCAAAATGTATTATATATTAATTTCTTGCTCCATTTTTGGAAGACAGTTTGATATAGCACAAGATTTGTTTTTTTATCCCTCTGTATCCATATTTATTTTGTCACTGAATTGCACAGTTGATTATATTTATATCATTATCATTGAAACATATAACCCTTGTTGGATACTAAACAAACCTAGATATATTTTCTGTGAGACAAAGTAAAACATAGCCTCACTTTTTTTGAATTGTTCTGTAGTTTATATGAAAACCACGGAACCAGAACAGATCTTATAAAATCTCTTACCTCCTCGGTCTAATAGTTCTTTTGCTACTGGAACTAAATTCTTTGCAACAGCATAATGAAGAGGAGTGAACCCCTCACTATCTGATGCATTTATGTCCACTGGAGGGATATTATCTACAAAAACAATTTTCAATAAAGTTTCAATTAAAAAAAACAAAATTTTAATACTTTATATTCACATACTGGCTTCTTTGATAGAATGATATACTTCTGAATTTTCAATTTTACAAACCATCAAAATATTTGTCTTTAAAACAACCATTAATTTACTCTTTAAGAATATGTAAAGTCATAATTTATGTAAAAGCAAATAGTTCTGGACTTACTCCATATATCAGGCATAATATAATTTTTATTTCAGACATTAATTCAAGACAGCAACATGCAAAATATTGGTCACTATTTGAATTTAATTGTCGCTGTTAAATGCTAGGACTTTAATTTCAAAAAATTCTTATATTTCAGATTCCAAAATCTATTTTAAAATACAAGTTCAATAAATGTTTTTTTTTTAATGAAAAATAATTATTTTGATTCATAAGATCACAAGTCACACACAGTCACATTCACAAAGAATGCATTCTAAAGATACCAGGGATATTGGACTTTATATTATTATACCAACCTTCTAATGTGAAAAATTATGACATTCTCATGCCAAAACCTGAAATGTTAGTGCTGGGCAGTGGCACCATTTCAGAACTTCAACTTGACTTAAATTCACTTTACAATGCATGATTTAGGTAACTGAACTAATTATAATGTGGTTTTTGAAGTATAATATATTAATATTCGATTAGATACTCTAAATTTTATGTTCTTTGGCTAATTTCATTTTGCAATTTTCTTACATTTTTACACTAAGCAATTCCTGAGTAAGGAAGGAAAGCTTTTGCTTATCAAAATTATTTTAAATACAATGAAATACAATTAGTTATTCATGTATATATTACTTATTCATATCATGTGTAAATCAATTTTGTAATATACCATTTATTAATGTATAACAAATTCAACATAGTTTTACTTGAGTGGTACAACCACCTACACCTGTTAATAAGATATTTTTGTCACTTGGTATATATTAAATTATAATTTAAAATATTTTGCTTTCTTATTTTCTTTAATAATATATATACCATATTAATGAATAATAGTTTATGAAAACAAAAACTAAATAATTATATAAATTTAGCTAATAATAAATGCCATTTAAATACATCTTTATGAGTAGATCCAAAAAGCTGTGCCACTTAGAGGGTTAAATGTCTTTAAATGTCCCATTAGAGAGCCTTTTTGTCATGCCAGTCACTTCCTGACTGGCAGAATGTTTTCTAGTTCAAACCCATCCATCATAGAATCGAGTCCAAGTTCTAAAATATTTTAGGCACAAGGTGTGGTTAAATGTCTATAAGATTTGAGATACATGTAGAATTGGTCTTCTACTCGAAATGAAACAAACATGACTTGTATGCATTTGGATTTTGATTACATAAACATAAGGTGAACTACCGAGTGACAGGCTCTTTAAATGCACAGATGATATTTCTTTGTATGCACACATAGTATTTATTGATTAATATTATGGGAGATTGTTTTTTTTACAAGAAAGAGCACTGGGTGTTGCAGCCCAGTTTCTAATCAAGAATTATATCTTTTGCATGTAAAATGTTTCTGTTTTGAGCATTACAGCATCTAATTTTTTAAATTATGGGAATCTGAATGAGGTTATATCTGTACCTTTCATTTATACGGGAAAAGAAACTTCAGGATTACATAGGGAAAGAGTTGTTAAATCTCTACTTGAAGAACCTTCTGGTTAATGATACCACTTATATATCGATTGTTTCTTTCTGTCTCCATTATTAATGGCAAACTCTTTAAGACTTGGAACAAATACCTGTGGGACTGTAATAAGGAGAAAGAAAGGAATGGTGAATATTTTCAGCCACCCAAAATGAAAATTGTCGAGATGTTTGTTTAGCAGAAAAAGAACCTAAACTTAACTGCTTTCAAGGATATACAGGAAGTGTTTTTTTCAAACGAAAGTTCTGACAGTGATGCTTCATTTGCTTACACTCCCACAAAAATCCTCCAAAAAAGACAAACGAGCTATTACGAATGCAAAGATTGTAACTCAAGAATCTGTTGTGTAGATCCCTGCTTTGGAATTTATCACACTAAAAATGAATTTTACATAAAATGTTTAACAGTAAAATGTTAACAGTTTAAAGATTTTTAACAGTCGTTCGAAATGATTTGTTAAGATTTTTTATACTTTCGCTCAGCTTATAAGGATTTTAAGTTTTTTTATACTTTCGCTCAGCTTATAAGGATTTATAAACGTTTTACTAACGTTTATTTTATTTTAAAACTTTACTGTCCCCTCTTATTTTCCACTTCCAGCCAGAATAAACAAGGTTAGTTTTCGTATGCAAATTGATCTTGCAAACTGTTAAGTATTCAAGTTGAAGCTTTTAGCCAAGAAGGGTTAGATAGAGAGAGAAACTTCTCGCCACCTTACTTCACACATGCTTTTCAGTCAGTTGCTGTCTGCCTTTAAGGCCAGAAATTTAGTCCTCTAGATACTGAAGACATAATGTAGTTTTCCCGCATTCTATCTACTACATACATAAAGATTACTTGGTATCCAAAAGTGCGGCAACAACTGTGTTAACTGTGAAGAATAAAGGTAATTAAGCCTTTCCCATCTGTGTCATATCATCTACAATTTCAATGGACATAGTTTAAAAAGTAAACTCACCTTTCTACTCAGGACACCAACATGTTTGCCAAAGTTATTAGACAAAAAAGTAATCCTGATAAGCTTGCAGTCTACTAGTCTGTTATTGTACTCATTCCTGTTAATCCATTTCTTTTTGTCTTTTCAGCTTTATTATTAAGCATTATTTTCTTCACACTTATAAGCAAAATTACAAAAATTTTATCAGCAGCATACTTTTAGAATTCCCGATGAATTGTTAAGTGTTGGCATAATATTTTTATTATATTTTTTTCAGTCTTTTTTCATTTCATCATTTCAATGTTGAGTTTTCTTACTGAGATTTTTTACAAAACTTTTCTTTTTATTATTAACCTTTTGTGTGCTGATTTTATTTATTAAATATCATGTTCCTTGCACTTATGCATCATTAAATTTAATTCAACAGCAAAATCACAAAATATTTTAAAACAGCATATTTTGATAATTCCTGATGGAGTGTTAGAAGTTGCCATACATATTTTATACTTGCTATTTCTTTAAAAATAAGGTGTGTGGCCAGTTGCCTAAAACAGTCGTCACAAAAAAAGAAAAGTATATACAGTACAAAGTCTGAAATCTGGATGTTCATTATTCGGAAAGATCTAAAATCTGGACCTTAAAACCACCAACAATACTTTACGCATGCACATTTGATTTCCTCCTCTGTGAATAATAAAAATCTGGTCCTGATTCTTAATTTCACTTCAACACTAAATAAATACCTTGTTATTAAAGAAACAATAATTTTAGCATAAATTTGTACGATCAATAATTTGGCTCCATTGCTGAGTACCTGCTTGGCCTAAATCTCAAACCGAAACATTCCTCATAAATACATCATTAATCTGACACCAACCTGGCAAATCATTATTTATTATACTTTCCTTTCATCACTGCAAGTTTATCAAAACAAGACAACTTGAGTAATGACTCATGTAGCGATGCCTAAACAATTGTTTTTTTTATGTTAGTTATTGAATAATAAAGGAGTATGGTATGGTAACCTTTTATGTTGACATTATGCTTGGCGATGATTACAGATTAATGCGCTAAAAAATGTTGACGAGGAAAAATTCACCAAAAATTTCTTTCTGTATGGTAAAAATAGATTTTGTTGATGATACCCAAAGATTACATTCAGGGCTATTTGAATTAAGAATAGCTGATTTGTTATTCACATAAAGCTAGAACCAGCACCAGGGATCGTATGGCCGCACCCAGTCACAGAATTTAGGACACAGAGACTACATCAGTCTTTGGGTCCATGATGCATAGCCAATTATGTATAGTGAAGGATAGCTAAATTTGATGATGACAGCCGCTAATTTTAAAGGTTTTAGATATCGCAAAGCAAAGAAGAAATTTTCCAATTAACAGATTTTGTAAAGAAATGTGGAGAAGCGGTTAAATGAAGATGATATAAGGGTTTTTACTGTGATGACAATGCTTCTCAATCACCAATCATTAATGAATGGCAAAATCTGTAGTATGGTTCTAGATCCAGAAAATAAAATACCGCTACCAATAGCGAAGAAAGTGACAGAGAAGTTACTGAAAACAAGAAAATTTCAATTGACAAAATAGTCGGAATTCTCGAAACAGCAGTTACAGGACTTCAACAATGTAACTAAACAAAAGATTATGTCTGTCTATAAAATTAAAGAAAAAGTATTAGCACAAAAAACGAAGCAACTTAAACAACTTACATTGAACGAGATATTTAAAAGGTAAACAAATAAATATTAAGCTTTTTTTGGTAAATTTTGATACCCTTTAGATCATAAATATTTCATTATTTCATAAATCCCGAATTCATATTTTTAATTTCTACATGCCATCTTATTAGATTTAAATTGATGATCTAATATTTGGAAAAATCCAGACTTGTCGGGACTTCGACAAGTATTCTGTATATTTGAAAAATCAAATCATTTGGCAAAGCATTAAGAATGCAATGCCAATTATTTTTTAGTACATCTTTATAAATTATTTACCATATATGAACTTTGGCTATTCTGCATGGATTGAATGGTAAATGAAATTACTGGTGTTCAGTAACTTTTATCTAATCATATGCTGATAGGCATGTTAATAATTAAGAATCAGATGACTGATAATTATATCAGATAAAAACAGGATGAATAGGAGGGAAAAAGATACATAAACAGGTTGAAATTTGAAAGATATTACATAGAAGTTTTGAAAAATAATTCTTCACAGAAACTTCTTAAAACTTTTTATGTTGATGAAAGAAACTGCATTTCTTCATTCAATACAAATACACATTGATTTCTTAATATCTATAAATGATGCAAATTATACTTCAGTGAGAGGGGTATACCTCGATAAT